GTAGGGGGGGACAAAATGATTGCAACAATTTTATAAATCAAAATTGAAATGGCAACAACAAGACTAATCTGATCAAAATAAGGGATTACAGCTGTTATTCAATTTTCTTCACGCACAACATCCGGGAAAACATTCATTGAAATTCAGGCTGGACTTAAAAGTTTTCATGGTGAGAAGGGTTTAGCAAGTCAAAAGTCTTCCATTGTTGCTATTAATCTAAACAGGGACATACAAACTTACACTATGAGCAAAGGCCAACATGTAATCATTCGTAATGTGAAGGAGGCTACAGTTTATGACATTGTTGATGCCCTAGATCCTTCTAGGTCACAAGTTCACACAACTGTCTTTAATGAGAGAGTTTACAAAGAGGTGGCAGCCCACAGGGTTCCAAAATAGATGCTAGATGGCCACAAGGCAGAGAATGTCGACGTATATTAATACAAATACTACGTGAATGTATAATGTACATGGATATTGTATAATAATATACCTTTCGCACGTGTGGAGCACCAACTACCCGGATAACCGGAATTCCAAGTATGTGGGTTTTGAACACGTCTCCATACTGCTTTCTTCGACTGCCAAAAAAATCTTTGATCTGTTGATGGTATGACAATAAACTGAAATGTTACACATTTTAAAAGATGACCAAAGTACCTTTATTGGAGGATCAAGGAAAATGACTGTACTGTATCTAAAAAAAAAAAAGTTTTAAAAATATTTTAATAAAATGAGTCCGGGAACAGCAACTGCGCTGAACAAACACCTCCACTTTACGACATTGATCATGATATCGATATTTATTGCTTTTTTTGTGTTTTTGCAACTTACAGCTTGAAATAAATTAACTATTTTTCTGTCTGTGTTTTAAAGCCTGAGACTGAATTGACTCAATACTTTCGCCTCTATATTTTAAGTCCTAGGGCAGCGCTTGGTAGCATTTGAAACAAAAGTGTGGGGTTTTTTTTAATATGAAAAAGGAACAATTGAGTAACTAAAGCAAAGATCCTAGTGTAGGATATTTGTCCGAAGAAATGTTCAAGTGATATTTTTTTTCTCTAAAATAAACTATTTCATCACGAGCACTTACTCCAAACGCAAACGACAGCGTCTCCCCCACAATGGGCAGTCCCATAGAACCAGGTGGTAGGGGAAGGTCCACCGTGGGGTCAGCTGTGTGGGTGTGGTAGACTGACCACATGATCACACTGAGCAGGAACAGGACAACCGGGACAAGGGTCTGGAGAAGCAGCCATCCCGGATTGTAGATGAGGCTGGTGAAGAGATAAACGACTATCACAGCCTGGTTGACACTTGGGTGGGTGATTATACACACATACTCTCTCAAACACATCCATACGTACATACAGACAGGCAAACAAACATGCACATGTACATACATATGTACACACGCATGAATGCATACAAACACACACACACACACACACACACACATGCGCGAATTAACAGACACACACACACACAAACATACACACGCACACACAGAGGGATAGAAAGAGAGAAAAAGAGAGACAGGGAAAGAGACAGATCGATAGATAGATAGAGAAATAGAAAGAAAGAGAGAGCGAGGGGGGAGAAAGAAAGAAAGAAAGAGAGAGAGAGAGAGGGAGAGAGAGAGAGAGAGAGAGAGAGAGAGAGAGAGAGTAAAAAACAATGGAAAAGTTTATATGGGTTTTTAGCCATACTTCGCATAGAACATGCTTGACTCGGGAAACAAGTGACGACTGACTTGCGTCGATGGGAGAAAGATACGCAAGCTTCAGTTAGGCTACAACAACCAGCAACTGTGCACTTGCGTTGATTATTTCGATAATATATTATATTGACAACTTTACTCTACTTTTATCCGCCGTTTATACCCCTTTGGGTGTCGCGGGAAGAAAGAGACGTCGCCAGCCGGAGAGCTTTGGTCAGGGGGATGCCGTGGGTGTTTAATGTTTCCCTGACTCCATCTATCTAGGTCTTTCTCGGTCGCCCTCTAGCCTTGTTGCCATCGAATTTTGGAGGTAGGCACGTTGTGCTTGATGGTGTGTTGGTATTCGTAGGAGATGTCCGAACCATTTGATTCTTTGGTGTTGGATGTGATGCATGACATCATTTGTGCCCACCATTTCTCGGATTACAGAGTTTCTAATGTTGTCTCGCCTGGTCTTGTTTACTGCTTTTCTAAGGCATCGCATTTCACATGTTGTAATTCTTTGCTCTAATGTCTTGTTCGTGGTCCATGTTTGGCAATGATAGCAGGTGAGCGTTGGGATGAATATGGTGTTCATCATTTTGAGTTTTGTTGTCATGGGGATGTTAGGATGTTTCAGTAGCGGAGTAAGCTGGTAACTAACATTATTGGCCTTTTGTACTCGTGTTTCAACGTTCACTGAAAATCCAAAGTGTGTTGTGTATTGTTGATTTGAATTGCCTTGGAGTTTAATTATTACTTTTAAAGAAAAAAACCCGACTGATGTAGATTCCTATTACAGATCGGGGTTTTTTTCGGCGGTTTTCTTTTTCTCCCCCCCCTGCATAAATGTCGTGTCCCACTCGGCTTGGGTGAGCTGTAACAAGAGAAGTCGAAACACCCCACCCCCAGAGTGATCTGAATTGAATCGCTAGAAGTGTAAAAAATCTTGTAAAAATTACATAACACATTACCGTACCCTAACTTTATCCTCAGGGTTTACTACATGTACTGTCCTTTCGTGTTTCTTCCCTCAACCACCAGTACGAAACACTGCGGATCACGAGGATTAATAACGGTGAATTTATTTAATTCATTTAATCTTTTCACGAACCGGGAAAGAGCAAAGCCTTACCAACTACATGTTCAGTGTTAAAAAGAAGGAGACATACCGGTAGAGAGTATTAACAATTTGGGGAAGCTGATTTAGGTTAAGGTTCCCTTCCTATACGAGAGGGTTAATAAAAAGTATGGTCGAAACTGTCTTTGACGAACGGACACCTGTGGCTGTATCAAACAGTTGATCGTTTTACACAGTGTCATTATAATGCTAAACTTGCACAAGGGATGAATTGGGAGGTAGCCTTTTATACATACATCTTAAACAGGGGACCGTCAGAGCAGGTTCAACTGCATAATGCTCCCTGCTTTTAAACGGTCTGCATTACAAAGATTAACGAGATGACTTTTGTTTTCCACATTCAATAAGTAGTATTCACCGGACACACCGCGATATCCAAAACTACCGCATTACGTAACACAAGGTCAAACGTAAAGCAGGGGTTCACCTGAACTGACCCGATGACCCGATGACCTCTCTCTCTCTCGAGTCATGGGAAGTTCAGAGAAAGTCTGTAAATGTACCAGGACAGAGGATTCACAACCTGTCTACGCTATGCGTACTTCCCAGTCAAAGCAGTAGACCTTGGACTTGTTGTGACGAGAGACAGAGATAGAAAGAGTGTATGAGAGAGAGAGAGAGAGAGAGAGAGAGAGAGAGAGAGAGAGAGAGAGAGAGAGAGAGAATATATATGAGAGAGAGAGAGAAGAGAGAGAGGATACAGAGAAGAGAGAGGAGAGAGAGAGGGAGTGGAGAGAGAGAAGAGAGAAGGAGAGAGAGACATAGTGTGTATTTAAGAGAGAGAGAAAGAGAGAGAGAGAGCGAGAGAGAGAGAGAGAGAGAGAGAGAGAGAGAGAGAGAGAGAGAGAAGAGGCGGAGAGGACACCCAGAAGAGAGAAGAGAGAGAGAGAAGAGAAAGAGAGAGGGTGGGAGAGAGAGAAAAGAGAGGGAGAGAGAAAGAGAGAGAAAGAAAGAGAGAGAGAGGGGGGGGGAAGAGGGGGAGAGAGGAGGAAGGAAGGAAACTAGAGAGGGACAGACAGACAGAGAGAGAGAGAGAGAGAGAGAGAGAGAGAGAGAGAGAGAGAGAGAGAGAGAGAGAGAGAAAGAGAGAGAAAGAGAGAGGGGGGGTGTTTATGAAATAAATGATAAAAAGTTTCCTCTGTACTGAGACAGAATTTGACAAAACGTATTGCAATTAGAACATTAAACAAGCAGGTAGAACTTGGTCAGATGAACTGTGAATAAGTTAAACCCCACAGCTATAAACCTTACAAACACAACTGGTTTTTAAAAAACGTATTGTCTTTTTTGCCTCTTGGAGTGTACATTTAAAAATAATATTGAGAGGAAAATACCACTGTAATTAAGACAATATATTAACAGTAATGGAGATTGAATGTCATTCCAAATGTCAAGGCGGAACTTATTTAAAAATATATGATAATGGAATGGGAAACAAGATGTAGCCCTCCTTAATGAGTGCAGAACAGATTGAGGAAGTAGAACAAAAGTATCTGTTATCTATTTTGGCTAGGCAAAAATCTTTATATTATTACACTTACGATGCTTTGAGAGCTCATACATGTGCATGCAATGAGAGCTATACACGTGAAGGAAATCTGCCAGTGGTGAAACAAACGAAATTCTTCTCTCTGTGTTCCTCCTTCATCCTCGATTGCTGTTCATCTGCTACTTTTCCACTTTCTCCCCACATCCCCAGTTCTGTGGGCTCCACTTTCCCTGACTCTTAATTGACTCTTTCTACTGCTACGTTCAACGGAATGTGGACGGCAAGGAACTTACAGACGTAGAAAAATGGTCACATATGTAAAAATCTGCTACCCAGAACGTTAAAGAACAAACAGTCCACCACCCCTCATATCTAGAAAGGGAACTAAAAAACAACAACCCACCAACAACAGTAGACACGATCGTCATATTTCCACACATGCATATTATCCTTATAGAAATTCAGTAGAGCTTGCATCATCGTCTAGCAAAGTTATTTTAATCATATATTATGTCTGCATGTATACAAATACATATAAACAAAATGTGTAGTTCTGACGTTGATTTTTTTTGTTTTTTGGTTCAATTATTCTTTTGGAGAGGCAACATGAAATGAAACGTTTATAAAAGATGTCCTGGCCCTGACGAAAAAAAGGTCATTGAGACGGCAAGATACACCGAGAGATATGAGCAAGAAGAAAATAAAAAGGATTTGGTGTCGCAGATGACTGGTTCTTTTGATGGTGCTATATTTGCAATTGAGTTTTTTTCTACAGACTCCCCCCCCCCTCCCCCATGAAAAAAAGTTATGTTAGCTGATGTAAGGTATTCAGTTATAATACAAAGTCTCATACATTTTCGAATTTCCAGAGGATTAGAATTCAGAGTCGAAAGACTATATTATCATCGTAAACACAATTTATGATTGACCTCCTCATCTGATAAATTTACCTAAACGTTTCGATAAACTCATTGCTCTTTATAAGTTGATGCAAATGTCTGCTTTGATACTGGAGAAGCACAGACTAACTCTAAGTGTTCACAATGTCACCTAAATTTAATTTTTGATTTTTCTGTGGTGGTTGATTAATTGAGAACATTTCAGGACGTCATCACTTATCTCGTCACTTAAAGAGTGGTAACGACATTCCAGGAAACGCAAGCAGCTTAAAGTAACAGCAGGTTCAAGGTAAAGGGAATAAAGTAAACGTGTAATTGTAAAGGAAGAGGGATTAACTATTGCAACGAAAAAGCAATTCGAGTAGCATTACTGTGTAAGTTATCCATCCATACATTTGCAAATATAGGAAGGTTTAATATGAAAGCTCAATTTCTATGTTTTTCCGTTGAGAAGCGCCTGTAAATTCATTTGATATCTTTCCCCAAATTTGCAGGAAAGTAATTGCGTCCTTCCAAATGTACTTTTTTCAGCATTGCGCTTTGAACAGTTCTTGCCCAAAAACAAGCTTTACTCAGTCAAATTTTGAGATGTTTTAAAGGTTCAAACGATGGAATCTGGGAAAGTGAAAGGGTTTTCATATGGCAGCGTCAGTTTCAATCGTGAAAAAATAGCAATCTGCTAGGTTTTCCCAACCCACAGGGTAAGAGATCAAGGGGAAGACCGCGTGGAACGTGGAGAAAAATCACAGACATCGATGTACAGAAAAGTGGGAAGACAGAATAACATCAAGAGGATAGCCCAGGATAGAGAAAGGTGGAAGGTGTTTGTCCGGGGCCTATACCCTGGTGCAGGGTGAGAAAGGCAATGACAATGATGAGGTTTTCCCAGGCCAGCACACAAACGGTTGAAAACTGTTTTACAGATGCCTCAACAAAAGTTTGATCATTTACGAGGTTTGCTGGTTCAAACCTCTCTGCCACGGATATCCTCGATTATGTGCGATATAGCATCACAGCTCAGGCAGTCACAGGTACCCAGTATAACAACATGCCATGTTCGAATCGAACTCACGTCTCTTGTATGGAATGACCAAGATTCTACCTATTACATTATAAACGACAAGATGTTGG